TGTCTGTGATCGCCGTGCCGTATCACATATACTATTAGTCTGTTGACTAATTATATTGTATACGTACTAATGATATGTTGTGTAGGTATAGCTAGATCTACAAGCGCATCCGGAGGCTAGATCGCGCACAGGGTTACTGGCGCAGCGCAATAATGCACCGAAACACTTAGCTAGCTGAACCAGTAGTCATGTGTGCACGTCAAGAAATAGGCTTGTCTGCTCAGTTGTAATAAACTGGCAACAATTCCTGCGAGTGAGAAGGTTCTTCAGACAAGCTAAAATGAATATGTCAACCAACTTTTCGTTTGACGTACGTCAAACGAAAAATTGACTGTTCTGTTCTCGCTGTTCTTTTGGTCGCCTCTTCATTTCCGGGTCTATGTGGCGCCGTGTCAGTGGACTCTTGCGGCTGCGGGCTGTGGCACTGACAACGCAGCGGCCTCGAGAGGACGCATAAACGGTCTGAAGCGGTGACTTGTCGTGGCGTTTAGGCTTCGCTCGTGCATACTTGACGGTACGGCACTCACCGTTATTGAGAGTGAATGGTCGTCCGCGCCATCACACATAAGTAGTAAGTTTTCTTGTCTTAGCAACTAATACGAAGAGGTCTAACTGTTTGTCGTACTTTTTGGAGGGCTACGAGGTACCGCCTCCGAGGACATCTTAACAGCCCTAAACGCAAATGGGGAATTACCAGTACTGGTTACCAACCTTGTCGTAAAGGCTCGTGTACTGAACACATTGTTAAAACGAAATATTACCTGATTGTCGCTCAACATACAGTACATAACCATCATTAATGGAACATTACGGCAAGTGTACGGTCGAACGGCACAGCGACTTGGGTAAGAATACGATTCATGTGATTGGTGCGGACGTCTTCAGAGTGTTGTATCGTACTCTCCCCCTAGTTACGAAGAGTCTGTTACTCAAGTTCTATTCGTATCAAAGGAATTTTCTCGTTTGATAAGGTCTTTCGTCATGTTATTCAATCGAACAATTCATCAGATGTTCACTCATACCTTTATTTAATTGACTGTAAACACGAGGATACAGATTACTATTTTATGCAATATTTATTGGTTCGTGAAGTTTTTGTGAAGTTTGACAATGGTTGTCACTTTTGCGACTTATTTTCGATTTTTTTCCACTTAACTCGGTCTGCAAATGGGTTTCAGTGCTACCAGTAAACTGAATACAACACACTAGCACCCTGGAGCGTCATCATTCTCTCTTACAATTTTGGTACACGAGAATTACTTAAGTCCTCGACTATAGGTTTGTATTAACATAAGTATCTGTACACTTAACTTAGAGAGGCAATTACATCTCTCTTACATCAATGGTAAAATCACACAAGCTCTGGGTTAGCATATTGTATTAATTTGACCTTGTAATAAATCTCAATGTAAAGACAAAACTGCTTATACTTCTAGTCATGTACTTATGTTATTACGGTTTCAGACCCGAGTTGAGGAAAGAGTCTCAAATTTTCTTTGCTGTCGGGTTTGTAATTGTAATTCCTTACAACCTACTTTAGTCATGCGACCAGTGACGCATCCTTAAGTGTGTCCATGGGTGACCTTGTTAACAAATTTGTACTAGGTTTTATCGGAGACGTTCTCTGATGAGGTAGAGAGAGATATGAGTGTCGACTTAAACTGTTGTGTCGTTGGCCGTTCTTCTTGGGTACCCACCTCGACCCACCGTCACAGAATAGACCGTGGTGCTGTAACCGAGTGACCTCCTCTGTAGTTTGGTGTGTGTTGTCGGTTACATATTTTCCGGTGTTTATTCAAACGACGTGTCCTACGCAAGGACGAAGACCGGGAGGTTCTACAATAGTCACGTGTAATTTACTCGATCTATACTAGTCACGGGTTCTAATTGTAAATATTGTCGATAATTCACGGAAGTAAACTTTAAGGCAGGATATAAATCTGTAACGAATAAAAAGAGAGTCGGGTCCAATCACTTAATTATTGTGGAAGACATTGTAGTTCTCCTGTGTGTGTGTGTGTGTGTGTGTGTGTGTGTGTGTGTGTGTGTGTGTGTGTGTGTGTGTGTGTGTGTGTGTGTGTGTGTGTGTGTGTGTGTGTGTGTGTGCGCTCCCTTGTCTCTTTCTATAAGCGATTTAAAAGTTTAAACATGTGTGTGTGGTTCTGTCACTGTATACGATTTTGTGTGTTTAGACCATATTCAGCCCCCCCCTTCTATTTTCCACACGCAGGCTGAGCTCCTGACACAGCCTGTCTCCCTCATGACAATCACTGTGGCATCTTATCTGTGTCTGTCCTTGTTTTCTGCGCATGCAGTGGAGTTCTCTGTCACCTACTTTTACAGAATGTGCCTCTGCTGTCAATTAGGCCGTGCCCAAGCCTTCCCCTGTTTGGGTTTATGTTTCCTTGAAACACTTTTTCTTTTGTTAAGCATCTTATCTTCAGTGTTATATCAAGAAAAACAACTTAATCTGCCTAACAATGATCCACTCCAACTTAGTCTTTACTCTGGGGATGAACAAATGGTTTAGATCCTTTAGTCCATCATACACCTGTCTCTAAAAGAAATGCTTCAACATTTTGGGAAATACACTTACCGGTACCGATGAAATAAGGACTTTAATCTCAATGCCCAACTGTCTAGTCTTCATACCACTCGAAGGGTTTTCACTCTTCATGCCAACATTTACCCATTCACACACACATACACTGGTCGTATGGCCAAAGCACACACACACACACACACACACACACACACACACACACACACACACACACACACACACACACACACACACACACACACACACACACACGGCTTTGCCTCCGGGAGCAATTTGCGGTTCCGTAACTTGCCAAAGGGCACTCCGATATGTGGACTGGAGAAGCTGGAAATCGAAAGCTGATCTTTCGATTAGTGGACAACCTGCTCCTGAGCCACAGCTGCCATAAAGCTGACTTATTAATATGTTGTCTGCCTAGCCCTATTTAAATGATTTCTTGTTTACAGCCTATGCAAACATACAGCTCTTGGGAGACCACTTCAGATTTCTTAAATCTCTACATGTATGACAGCCATTACTTTCCAGTGTATGTTGCATTCCAACACAGAGAAATGTTGTCAGTAGTTTATAGAATAAAATAATAATGTTACTCAATACATACCTATAAATAGTAAAACCAGATAAACTGATAATGCTGCAGTGGTGTGCAATGTTTTTACAGAGCTGTATGTACAATGGCTTCAGGGGGAGCTAGGTAGTTACAGCTATTATTTTAAAACGTTTCCTTGTCGTTGAATTCTTGCCACCCTGAGCTATGGATGGAAATGCTGCAAAAAAGCAACCATGGATTGACGTTGTTTACATTTATCTTTTGTTATGGGTGAAACTAACACCATTGTGTTTATACGGATACTTAGGGGATGTTGTCAGGAATATGTAGTTTCTTTTTCACACTGCCAGACCAACTGTTTTCCCCTTCCTCAGACTGCAGATCCACACTCTGAATATACAGGAAGTCCATCTCACTCTCAATAAACACTTCAAGCCCATTTCCCAAAATGTTAATCTTTACCTCTTCTTATCTTTATTTCACTATTTTGACTAATTTCCCTAAACCTCTGTTCCTGCCACTGCTACTTTCAACCATTGACAGGAGGACATGTGCAACCATGTGCTATCTCTCTGTGTCCTCACAAGTTGTTTTCTAGCAAGAGGCTGCTCTTGGGCACCTGTCCAATTACACACTTGCTTATTAATGGAGGCATTAATACTAGGCATTGAAACAAGGCCTCAACTGTGGGGTGATGTTTTGCTATACCGCATTTGCACACCTGCACACAGCGGTTGGTAAATAAGTGAATGATTATTGATAAAGAACGAGCTGTTGTAGCCCATATGGAGTTGGTAGTGTCAGAATTGACCTTCAGAATTTCATAAAAGTCCAACTCTAGTATCCAGTTGGTTTCATGTATAACCAATGAAGTACGTTCATCTGGCTTTTCACTCATTCATTGACTCAGGAAGGAAGGGGTGTGAAGTCTTTTCTGCTCTAAGTCTTTGTGAACGTAATTAGCAAATATGCTAATGGATCCTCGGCTCTAAATGCCAGCGTCCGGAGCGATTAACCGCAGTATCTCCCCTCGTCTCTGCCCAAGTCTCTGGCACGTTCCCTGTGAAGGAAGGCTGTAATTAAGGCGGGGGATGAATAAATGTAATTACACTCGACCACAGGACTGCAGACTGTGTGTGTGTATTATATGTGTGTTATGTGCTGGTTCATGACACGGTGCTGTATCGTGACAAGATATAGACACACACACTTTACCCTCACCTGTTCATGCCACCACATCTTGCATTGTGTGAATCAGACTGCAACAGTTGGAAGTGTTATTCAGGCTTAGCTTAATGCTCAGATATCTTTCACACCCTTTATACTCTTTTACAACAAGTGTAGTTTGTTTCAATATACAACTGTTTCTTATACCCCACCATGGTATTCAGTAATAGAACATTTACAGGGATCTGCAGCACAGGGATCGGTGTCGTGTTAAAAAGCATTTCTTATCTGTGACAGTGGGGGGCCCATTAAAATGTGTAACTTTTTTCCCTCCGATATCTACACTTTTTTTCCAATAAAACGTTTCTGTCTTTTAAGATGCTTTTTGTAAGGATTTAGAAATAAAGATGATTCTCTAACTGAAAAGATGCTGGCTGTCACACAGCACTAATTTGACTTTGTAAAACCTCCAGAGATGAAGAGAGCGAGAGATGATGCTCGAATTCTGCTTAAGCTGGAGATGCTTAAAACGAGGCTTGCATCATTAACTCCATCACGCCGTGGGCATCTCTCTCTGTCAACAACTGCAGCTCTGCCAATACTACAATCTTCCGACTCAACATGAGCTTTGTCTTTCTCCCCTCACAATTGCCTTGTCACACTCTTTTAAGTCAATATAATTAGCTGTAACTTTAACTTTCTCTTTTTCTTTGATGCCAGGGGTGGAGGCATGTCTGCAGGCAGGCGAGTGGATGCCCGAAAATGAGCACGAAGCGGGAGAAGGCCCACAGCGAAGTCGCATCAACAGATGCAGCTTGGTAATTGAGACGCACACAAATAAACTCATCTAATAGATGATTATAGATTGTCTAGACCAGGGGTGTCAAACTCAATTTCATTGCGGGCCACTTCAGAATTATGGTTGCACTCAAAGGGCCGGTTGTCACTAAGACTATATAAATCTAAATATATAATATATATTACATAATGTCTTATTACATTATTGGCTCTGCATTGGGATATTATCAGTTCTGGTAATAACTTCATAAATAATTACGTCTGAAAGCAGAAGTCTAGGGTAGGGCTGTTCCGAATACCATTTTTCGGGCTCCGGATATTCGGTAGTAATCAGCAGCGAATATTCGAATATTCGGTGCGGAGAGATTTGTATTTTTTTTTTTATAAATACTTTTTTCCAAAAAATATTTTTTTTCAAAAAGGTTTCATAACACGCTCCGAGTCCGAGACACCTGGCAACACGCTGTTAAGCAGAAGCGCAGAAAGAGCATACTATTACTATTTTATATTTATTTATTGTCTCAGTACTCGCAAACATTAAAACGAAATATGTCCTCTGTAGGGTAACTGTAGGGTCTGCTGTATTGTTGAGGATGTTCATGGCTGGGATGCGTGGGGATGCACCTATGGACACAAGTTATTATTCGGCTGAGCTACTCAACTTTATGCCAATAATTGCCTTAGCCCCAGATGTTCCCACATTACTCCTATTATTTTCACTATTCGGATCAAATTAAAAAACAATTCGGTTGCTTTCAACTATTTTCCAAGCAAAGTAAGTGCACATTTTTATCATGTTATGTTTATCACGTTACTGTTTAAACGGCGGATAAAGCAGCTTCATAATGGCAACTTGACAACAGCTAAGCTAAGCTAGGCTACTGCTTACAGCATCCAGGTGACTTTTCAGAGTTGTTGTGCCACCGTGGTAAGGCAGTTTCTTATTGCATATTTGGCACATATTCTTCTTACCGTCGTCCAATTTAAAATGGTCCCACACAGCTGAAGTCTTCGGCATTTTGTGGGTGAAACGAGGTGAAGCGAGGTGAAGCGTGCCGTTTGCGTTCGTGACTGTGAGTGAACGCGAGTGTCAGGAGCACAGGCTGAGATTGTATATATTTCCGCATTTTAACCATGCAATTCAAAAAGTATATCAACTATAGTATAAGAATATCGGCAATCGCTGTGAGTTAATAGCATACATTGTAGAAAAAAAAAACAAAAAAAAAACGGAAGTATCCGAATACATGAAATTGAAACCCAAATAGTTGGCCAACGAACTGAATAGTCGAGATAGGTCGAATATTTCGGGTTACCAGCCCTAGTCTAGGGAAATAGTTTAAAGCAACTATTCAACAATTACAACCTTTGTCTTTGTATTACTATATTGTTTGCAAGCTCTTGGTGGCCACACTCAAATGAGGGTCACGGGCCGGATTTGCGCCCGCGGGCCTGAGTCTAGATCAGCGGTTTTTCAGAACAATGGACACAA